ATATAATTATAGCCTATTGTGTGCTTTCATGTGACATAATTTAAAATCACTTCACTTGAGTCTTGATATCATCTAGAAGAAATATTCGCTAACGTTGTAACGAATACAACCCAGTCGCTTATGTTACCTTGTCTGAAACTTTGCGCATGACCTTTAGTTTATTACAATCGTACTAGAAATATATAAGAAGTAAATTTACATTGTCGAAAGAAATGTTGTCTGTTTTTGAATAATTACCAGCGACTGTTTAATTTTTTATTTTTACATTAAATAATAGTCCAGCTTACCAGTAGTTGAGTTTTTTTTTGTCTTGCCGCTTGTCTTTAGTGTTTTGTTTCCGGCATCAAGTATGACGCAAGGACAATAATATATAAGACACATATTTTGCTGGCATGTATCAGACAAAGGGAGGCATTCATTCATTGAAAGCAATGCTTTGTCAACTCAAAATGGTTCCATCTTTTTTGTATGTTCTTTCTGTTCTTGGTATCTCGTTTTGGGTAACAGCTGATAGTCACGAAGGACGCACATTTACCAGTCAAAACCACACTCACAATATTACAAGGACTTCCTCAAGTGAAACACACAAGGAATGTATTTTGATCGTCAACGAAACAGATTTGTGGTTTCTACAGGAACTAGGTCGAAATAAGGTTATTCATGTTGTACAACTTGATCTTCAATTCACCTCTAAACAGAACAATTCCACCATTAAGAAGTGGAGCTGGCTGTGGACAGACAATATCGGTCATAATATCTTGGCATTGCTCGCAAGAGAAGTCATTGAGAATAGTGCTGCCCATGCTGGGTTGGCTTGGGCTCTCGACGTTGGCAGAAAAACAAGTGGATTGCGTGTAAGTGATAGTCCTGCCGGATGTGCGGCATCTAAAAAATCACCAGAAGATTTTCTTGCTAGTGCTCTTTTGAGGCAACTGTCTTTGGTCCAGGAGAAAGAAATTTGTTTCAACAAAAATTCGAGTCAAACCACGCAAAAGAGATGCTGCAAGAGTTTTAACAATAATCCTCATTGTTATGTGAAGTCAGATGAATCTGAATTCGTGCGCACAATTAAATCGATGTTATGGGTGATTTTTTACGGCCAACTTTTATCTATGCCTGTGTTATTCTGTATTGGCATCACATTATTAGGCAAAAAGGAAAAAAAGAACGATGGTTATTACAGGTTAACGGAAAGTCCGATGTCATTACTATCCATTCTGCGTCTGTTGCTTTGGGATGGTTTTGGAAGAGTGAGATCTTTTGTACGCAGGAGTTTGTTGTTGGTAGTTGTCTTCCTGTTGTGTTGGAGACTGAAATTGTTCGATCACACTGTTGGCGTTTTTCTTCATGTGTTTTTTGCTTTTTCGGTGCTGTCTATGCCTTTGTCCATCATACATTACCATGCTGAGAATTTTTTTGAGGGAATTGACTTCTCAGACGTATTGCATTTATTTCCTAATGTAAGTGCAGCATTTTCTTATTTTAGTTATGACATAGATATCTATTTGTTGCGCAAGGCTAAATCGAAAGTCATTGGTTTAGTCACGTTGCCTTTGAACATAAAACTGTGGAAAAAATCGTTGATTAGATTTTCTGAATCTGTCAAGTCCTCTAATACATCACGATGTTTTGTACGGTGTAAAGTTCTGCTGTACATTAAAGTTGTTTTTCTTTGTTTGGTTTACATTCCGGTTGTTTTTATATTGCAAGTTGCTTTAATGTTTGCATGCATCTATACTTTACTTTTTTCAATTTATCGTAGGGCCTTCCTCGGCGGAAGGAGGCGACAATTTGCAGTCTTCTATATGTATTTTTTTAATATATTGTTTTTCTTGTTTCCAGCATCCGTTTGTTTTCTATTCACGCCTTTCATTGTAATTGGGTTGCTCTCAGGAATAATTCTCAATATTGTCTACTTTTTCCCTTACATTGTTTACATATCAATTCTGACATTTTACTCCTGGATGTTTTGGTCATCTGTTGAACAACAATATGTCGTCTTGATGAAGCTGATTTATGATTGCAACATGGATTACAAAAATAACAATGACAACAACAATGACGCCAACAATGACTCCAACAATGATCTTAACAATGAACTAGACAGTGACAACAACAATAACAACAATAATGACAACAACAATGACAACAACAATGACAACAATAATGACAACAACAATGACAACAACAATGACAACAACAATGACAACAACAATGACAACAACAATGACAACAACAATGACAACATTAATGACAACAACAATGACAACAACAATGACAACAACAATGACAACAACAATGACAACAATAATGACAACAACAATGACAACAACAATGACCTTAATAATGAACTAGACAATGTCCTGAAGAATGTGATTTGTTCATACTTGAACATTGTTGATAATGACTCCGGCAGTGGAGGAAGTGGTGTGTTAGATGAAAGTAGTAAAATTGTGTGCGTGGTATCAAAGGAACTCTATGATGATATTAGAGAACGCCTCTTACCATACCATGTGAATCTTTTTTACTTCGCGTTAAAAGTTTTCTTCGCTTTACTTTTTTCTTATTTTATTCTCACTCTTGTTCGAGTTCTTCAAGCCAGCGATGTTTCCCCAACAGTCCAGTTGCTCACAACGTTCAGCGTGAGTGCTTTTCCTTACATTATGAATATTGTTGCGGCGAAAAAAGGAGAAGATCAGAAAGATGCGTGGAAACAACAGTTGAAACAACGAGTGAAACCATTAGTGAACAAACTGGCGGATGCAAAACCTGAATTACCTGAGACTGAATTTAGTATAACCTCTAGCTATCATGACGAACTTTTGATGGAACGATTATTTGAACATTTGATGCAACGATTGAAATCATTAGTGAACAAACTGACGGCTGAGAAACCTGAATTACGTCGGACTGAATTGAGTTTACCCTCTAGCTATCACGACGAACTTGCATTAATTGAACATTTGATGCAACGATTGAAATCATTAGTGAACAAACTGACAACGGAGAAACCTGAATTACGTCGGACTGAATTGAGTATACCCTCTAGCTATCATGACGAACTTGCATTAATTGAACGTTTGATGCGACGATTGAAATCATTAGTGAACAAATCACACCAAATTCGTGTAACAAACAATGAAGATGACGATTTAATCATCTACGAGAGTAGCGTTTAGTATAAACTCTTCTGAAACAATAAATCATCCAACATGTCTTATACTTTTACTTTTAGCAAGTGATCTCTCGCCGAGAGAACGGTTTAAATAACGAAGACTCTGACCCCGTCCAGGCAAATCCATACATTTTTAATAAAAATGTTACGTTACACAACGTTGCTTAAATCAACGGGGTTTTGAATTTTTCCTAAAGGCTCGTTTACACTTGCGATTTTTGCTACGATTTTATGTGCAAGATGTAAACGAGTAAATAGTTCCGAATGCTCTGGGGCCGGTTGTTCGAAAGGCGATTAGCTTAAACGGTGGATAAGCCAAAGTTTGAAACTGCTCTCATACATCTTGTGAATGATTGAACCTGTATCTTATGGATTAAATATGTTTGAAAATTGAAAATTAAACTATTTACAGCGAAATAGTTCAGCTCAGTTGTTCAATAAATAGATAATTTTGTTTTCCATTTTGAACTTATCCACCGTTTAAGCTATCAACCGGCCCCTGATGTATAAGGGCTCTATTTTGAACATCAGTAAGTAATTCACCCGTTTACATGTGGGCCTACCAAAAGGCGAAAATCACACAAAAAATTGCGGCAAAAATTGCAAGTGTAACGAGCCTGTGTAACGATTCATCTGACCGATGGAACAATGTTATTGGTCAGCAAACTATGAGTTGATTATTTGATCAATATTTCCAGTTCTTTTCGTATGTTCAGATCACTTGTAAACCATGTTCAGATAATATTCTTGAAATGTTCATGTTTATGTAATTTTTAATATTGATTTTCAAAGCGTAGCCTAGATAATGAGTATAAATGGTAGTACGTATATTAGCCTTGTCAAAGCGATGGCATTACATAATAGGGGGAATATTAATCATGGGAAACATTGAAACTTCATAGAAACTTCTAACTATATATCAGTTTGTAATATTCGAATATAATGAAGAAGGATAACTTCTTCAGCTTTTATTAACTGCTGTTAATTAGATTTGTGTTTCATATAAAATGAATAAAAATATATCAGAAAACTATAACTGCTGATGCCCCCCCCCCGTCTTGCGCTACCCTGTTTGAAATTTTGCTGAATTCTACTGAGAAAGATCTCTTTATATTCGCTTACCAAATACATCAAACTACAGGGAATGTAATCACTCTAGCGTGTTTTTTGAAAGCACTTTTTCAGCCCACATTTTCGGTGTACTGGATCGAATCTAAAATATACACTGCACGCATATTCTGTGTACTTGATCTGAAGCTAAACGACCGCATGCATGTTCTGCGCGATCTAAATTAAACGTTTGTACGTGTATCCCTGTGCACTTGATCAAAACTAAACGACTGCGCCCATATTTTCTGGACTCGATCTAGTTAATATATTTCAAAATTTAATTTAGCATCAAATGTGGTGGTATAATGCGGTATAAAAGTGTTCTATAACCGTATAGAAACACAAGAAAGAATTTTTCTATTTTATAATATAACTCAATAAAAAGATTTTGTACAAATATTATAATTCGATTCAATTACAGATTCTCTTAAATTAATTCGTCAATTTCGACGGGAAAAGTCCCGTGTCTCTATACAGTTATAAAAACATGCTTCTCGACCAATCAGCACGTGCGTACTATAAATGTTATGTTATAAAACACTTAGAAATTGCAAGTTAAACATTCAGAAAATACAATCCAGTTGAGTATATCTCTGATCTTATGATACACTGGATAGAGCTATGCGTATTGAAAACAGAGCCATATTTAACTGGTAGGCCCCTCAGTCATGTATTTTCCCACTAAAAGTAGACTCTATTTTTATGTCTTTACTAGAATGGAAGTGCTGATGAACTGGAAAAGATTGTTGAACAAACGTCTAAAGAACGTCTTTTGCTTGAAAAACAAGTTTCTTCAAACGTCGAGGTTAGTGACTCGTGTTAAGTAAACAGTGCATTGTGTTTATATGTTTGGAAAAGTCTATTCTTTCATAAAAGATTTATTCAACGTGCACAGCTTTCTTATTAAAATTGTTGACTGTATCAAAACAACCCTATATTACAAACATTTATCTTTCTGCCGTATCTTCCTCTCTGAACAAACTGACCTGTAATTCACATATTCCCCTCTCAATCCAAACATTGCCCAAAACGTCTCTTCTAACATTTCAACATCAACTCAAATAGAGATATCCCTAACACATACACACTGACGCCAAGCTCTTGAGAATGTCTATTTTTATTGCAGATGTATCTGTTTTAAACCATGCAATATTTTTCTAAATATCTCAAACACCTACGATTATCTTAATACATACACCTCCGGCATCTAGAAAAAGTATATACAGACACCTTTCCAGTAATATCTCCAGTAGTATCTATGATAGCTACTGGAGACCTTGTGTAGTTTTACATACATCTTAAGCCGGTTTTCCACTAGCGATATTTTTTGCGCGAAGCGACTTTATTCCTTTATATTTGAGCAATTTGTTGCAGATGGTTGCAGTTGAGAGCTCTGAAAGAAAAGTAAAATGTCGCTTCGCGCGAAAAATATCGCTAGTGGAAAACCGGCTTTACTTCGTAATTCGCACATCGGAAAGTAAGCTTCTTCACTACGGTTCTCTTATATGCATGTGTGTTGTATAATAAACTTGATTCCTTGTTTAGAATTTACGAGAAGAAATAAAGGATATCAGCGCTCAAAACACAAGACTAGCAAATGATAACGATATTTTAAAAGAGGAAGTGTGTAAACTGCAAGATTTTAAATCAAAACACGACACAATTGTAAGTTTTGTTTATATTATTGTAAAATAACTTGGTTAAATATAGGTTTGATACCTACGTTCCTTGCAATTTACAATACCTACGAACAATAATTATATATGAATTTCCTGTTGTATAATTGTATTCTTATCTGATTATATCCTTAATATATCCTTATTATATCCTTATTTGTACTATTACTTCCTCCATGCACGAAGGCCCTCACGTCGAAAGATCGCGAAGTTCCATTGTATAATTTAAAGGGGTCATTATCATTGCGATGATATTCGTCCTGTAAAGATATTTGAAGAATCTATCATCCTCTGACAGGATATCTTTGGTTAAAACTCATATATTTTTCTAATTCATGGTTTTCTTTGTGAATTTTAGTCAACTCGACTGAAAGAAGTCCAGGCACGCAATGAGAAACTGGAAAATGCGTGTTCGGAAAAGGACAAGTGGTTGTATAAATTGGTAAGTTTGATTTTCTTTTGACACCTGGCTCGAAACACGGGCCTACGTTATTGGTTCTGATGTTTCATGTCATTTTTTAGCGGTAACTAAACTGGTAAATATCGGTTCATCTAAATGAGCGAGAACGCCTGAAAATGTAAAATATCAGTGTAAAACAGTAACTGCGAGCCCCCTTAAGCATACTCATATAGTTTTATGCAACTTACTTATCGAGGTGTTGACTTTAGGATTTAGAAAAGCAAGCGTTCACTGCAAAGAACAATGCATTACAGAAGAAAAACAACGAGTTGTTATCCAAAGTTGACCAGCTTAACCAGGTATCCACTGCCTTGCATGTCAATCTTGCAATCAGGTATCACTTGCAATCAGGTATCCACCGCCTTACGTTAAGAGACTTGCGTGTTATTTATTCATGTGGCTAAGCCTGTTGTTGCGAACTTCACTTGATTGGTCCATTTTGCTTCCGGTGCAGCCAATCATAAACAATGTTTACAATTCCGATCACGGAATATTGGAGTTCCCATTTTTCCCTATCAAAACGAATAGACGGCATTCGGGAAGCATGCAGCACCCTACTGTTTCTAGTTTAAACCATTCCTCTATATTAAATCCAGAACGAAGCGATCACATTTGAAAGGTGTCTTCAACTCTAGGTTGAAAGAGAATGCTCTCATTTAAAAGAGAGTATCCAGACATTGGAAAACGAGAATCTTGCGATGAAAGAGGAGAATGTGAAATTAGGAAACGAAATCAAAGACTTGTCCGAAGTTAAAAAGGTATAGTTGCTTTATTTGGTGGGTTTACTGGTTACGGTGTACTAAATAATTTTATCATTACCGTTTCACGTTGGGAAGTTTTGTTAAAATTTTGCTTTGGATAATTTAATATAAGACAATATAACCAGGGAGCAGCGTGGCAGCGTCTTCAAACAACTTCGCATCAAATGTGGTATAACAACTGCCTAAAATAGACAAAAAAAAACGTCTCGACGTACTACATACATACTAAGTCTCCTGACGAAGGCTCTCAGGTCGAAACGTCGAGAAGTGTTTTGTCTATTTTAGGCAGTTGTTATACCACATTTGATGCTAATTTACATGGGATCATCAAATGTTTTCTGGTGAAGATTGATTATTTTCATATCTTCATCCCAAGAGACGTACAAGCTATGACATGAATTAGAAACTTAAATCTGTGAATTGGAAACTAAATAATTATATTTTTCTTCAAAATTTTTTTTCTTGGAATCTATGATTTCTGTCGTATACAAACCGCATGAAATGTGGTAAAAATTTATGTATTCATTTTCATTTTTAGGAGGCAGAACAGTTAAAGCTAGATAATATGGATTTGGAAAAGCAAAGAGAAAATGTTTCGTTGAAGCTCGAGGAAAGAGATCAAGAAATTTCATCTCTTTATGAGGTATGAAAGTCCGGTGAAATGAGGCAGATTTAGCACGAGCACGTGAGCGTCAAAAACGACGTGAAAATGGCGAATAAATGGCGTGATGCGTCTATATATGCATGGACATGCCACGTCCTCATGCTAAATCTTCCTATTTTAACATCGGCGGTTCGGAAAGATATTAATGACATAATGACAGTTATAATGAACTTTTTAACTGATTTTAGATATCTTTCTAATATTGATTCTTAACGTATTAATATAGCTATTAGCACAAGCTGGAGGGCCACTTGTTTTAAAATCAGTTGATCATACTGTTCGGTGTTTACCCTCGATAAATAAAGTTGATCTATCTATCTCTGACAGTATAAACAGGGCTTTCATAAAATAGCGTTACATGCAGATATCTCTCATTTTGAAAAATCTCACTCGTCGCCCAACTATGATCGTAGACGTTGTTTACTTTTCCTCCCCAAACTTTTTCTGTCTTTGAGAATGTGGCCCTGTATAAAAAATAGTCTTTTGAACGCTTACCCCCCCCCCCCAAAGAAAATAACATCCCCACCCAGAATGCGTTCAAATATGAAAGCAGATAAACGTATGTGATAAACTTCAGGCACAAGAAGTGGCTCAGAGAAATCATTCAGCAGAAGTGAGTGGTTTGGAAGACATGGTGCGCCGATTGAAGGAACAAAAAGCGAGGAGTATTCGTGAAGAAAAGATAGCCGAATCTCGTCACACGACAAGTTCAGTGTTGACGTCGACACCAAAAGACAGCAAGAGTACCCAGACCTCTCGTCCGTCATCCCCGGTCATGTCACCAATAATACACAACGGAATACATGAGTTGCAACGAGACTCTCAAAAAGGTAAACAACAAACAGATGAACACCAGGGGCCGGTTGTACGAAAGCTGGATGGTGCTAACCACACCGGATAGCAATTATTCAACCATTTTACACATGCATGCATGAAAAATAATTAAATAACAGCTTGGAGGTAACAGTTATGAAAGAGATCCCCCAACGTAAGAATACTAAGTTTTAATTTAGGTTATGCCGCGGAAAACGGGCAATTTTAGGGCGATTGATTATTTTCTAAGCTCTCAAACATTGACTTGATTTTGACCAAGTCAACTGTATTAACTGATCGGATTAAACAGAGGACTTAAAGTTTGTTTGCAATCTTTCACATGTAGGTTTTTTTTTGTTTTTCCCGGGTTTTTTGACTTTGCTGACTCCAAGCTTGAAATCTGTTCACTGAAACAGACAAAGATATGTGGAAACACAGGCCTAAGGTTAATGAACAGAAGTTCCCAAGCACATATGCGAGCAATCCTATTTGGCTTTCTTGTTTTAGACGAAGACATAAAGGGTACCGATGATGATTCGGGTCAGGAACTCCTAAATGTCCCGTACAACGGAACGAGTTCTTCGACTAGTTTCGATTTGGAAAAAGCGGGAACACGAATTCAGCAGTTGGCTGCTTCAGATTCTGACGAGATTGATTCTAATTTTGTGAAAACCCAGAAACAATCGCCCGTGTGTGAGTAATTTTAAAACAAAAGCGATTCTGAACGGAGCCTTGAAGATTCACTTTATTTTCTGTTTTCATCATCAACTAGTTTTGTTAAGCAGCGAAAATTTATGGAACATTTTTTCTTTCGATTTTTAGCTTCGGAGATCAGCGAGTCTTCGGAGCCGAGTGTCGAAGATCAGGCGAGCGAGGAAGATAAAAGTTACAGCGCGGATGTGAGCCAAGCCAGTGATGTTGAAGAACTTCGTGTCAATAAGACATTGCAAGATGACGAGCAAGAATCAGACTTTTACGATCCCAGAGACGGTAATAAAAAGTTAATAACTAACTTAATTATTTCGTGTGTCTGCGTCTGTCTAATACACCTGATTCAATTATGTTTATGTGGCGCTAGGATAACTTGATAGTTGGTATATGGTATAATAATTATCGTGTAAGTGGCATCACGTGGTGGCATAAACTAGTTTAATTAAGGTTAGCTTTACGTAATATGGAAACTAAGGCCTGTTTTCCACTTCAACCGTATCGTATCGTAACGTAGCGTAATTCTGTTTCCGAAGTATTCGACCAGAACTAATGAGTTTAAAACAATGAGATACGCTACGCTTGTGATGCAAACACGATATAATGAGTGAAATGAGTGTTTATATGATCACTCTTCCATCCCGGAATCCCGCTTAGGGCCTGTTTACATGGAGCCGAGTTACCCGGCTAAACGAGTTACTCGGCAGGACCGAGTTCTCGCCTGTTCTATATATTGCATGGATATCTCGGTTGACTGTTTATATGGCGCATCCGAGTAACTCGGCGTGCCGAGTTCTCGGCAAACTGTGCCGGGTTCTCGGCAAGGCGAGTTACTCGGTTATACCATGTAAACACTTTGCAACGGGAAACTCGGCTAGGCGAGTACAATATTCGCCAAACACGCATGCGCGTTTACGTTTCATTTACCACCATTGTAAAAACCTTTTTGAAATTTCGCGCCCTACATAGGAAGTACGTCATGTAATTACAATGTACCGTAACAAATGGCGAGTTACCCGGTTCCATATAAACACAGTACCGTTTTGTCCCGGCAAGGCGAGTAACTCGGTTACCCGGGTAACTCGGCTCCATGTAAACAGGCCCTTAGACAGAACGAGAAATTGCCATATAAACACTCCATTCCACTTGGCCGAGATGTTTCGCGATAAACATACCTTCGGAGCATGTGTATATATTGGCGTATATTCGTTTTCTACATTAAAACATAACGTCTAATGAACCTGTACTAAAAAATGAACTCCATATAAACACGCCATCCCGCCTATTGCAAGAACTAGCCATTGCAATTCTTGGACTTTCAAATGCATTTTAGAAATTAACTTGACTTCTAGAAATAGTACTCGACATGTGTTATAAACCCAAATCTTTTACACACGTTGTGTAGATCCTGATATTTACATCGGAAGTCCGCTTCAAAACTCTCCCGACTTGGAAGAAAAACTCTCCATATTCATCGCTAAGTACAATTACGATCCAATGCTATATTCTCCTAACGAGAACCCAGAAATGGAGCTCGCTTTTCAAGCTGGAGATTATCTGTATGTTTACGGAGATGTCGATGGGGTATGTGATCGTAGAAAAACTCGCATTGATCAAAAAACCATTCTGATGAACGGTTTACAATCCTGGGGACGGTTGTTCGAAAGGCGTTTAGCTTAAACGGTGTACTTCCATTGACAATTAAATTATTTACATCGAAATATTTCAGCTCATGCAGTTGTTCAATAAATAGATAGTTTGGTTTTCATTTTTAACTTATCCACCGTTTAAGCTAAACGCCTTTCGAACAAATCTCCCCAAGAATATATTGTTTTCAACTATTGCAGGCTGATTAATTGTATAAAATTGTAGTTGATTCAGTTGTGAAAAAGATTGGCCAACTGTATCGGCGTTATTTTGCAGACACGAAAGTTCGTCCAAAGTTAACCTAATTTTCATGCACTCAATATATTAAACCTTTTAACATTGTTTCTTGACCGTTTTAAATTCACAAAGCATTATTTTCGTTATCGAAGTGCCGTCATCATCTAATTTGGAATGACATATTTGATGTTTTGAAACAGGATGGTTTCTACGTGGGTGAGCTCATGAACGGCGAACGCGGTCTTGTTCCTTCGAATTTTGTTGAACAAATCGCAGAGGAAGAGGCCATTTTGAAAGAAAGCGATGACTTAGGTATATTGAAATGATTGAATTGTTTGTAATCGCTTGTCTTAATCTGCTAAAAAGTGTAATTTTCATGTCAAAACAAACCTCTATAATCTATATAGATTCTTAAACCTGGATTTTATTTACATTGTTTTTTTTTTAGATGCTGATTCTGATAGCGAAGGTAAAGAAATGTTAAATAATTGTCAAAACCTTTTTGCTGCATATTTTTGTGTACTCTCTTTTGTCTTTCGTTTGTTTGTTTGTCGCCTTGTTTGTTTATACCCACATTCTAAGTTAAAATGAACTCTAAAATGTTTTATGCATAGGACACGTTTTTTACCTTCGCCTAAAATTTTAACCGCGTGGTCTATTTTAACCATAACTTTCTACTGAAAGCCTCTGCTAAACATTTTGTATAAATTTTCTAAAAGAAGACAGTTCAGAGGACGAAATAACGTTAAAAGATGAGGATGGCGAGAAGAGAGTAATACGACCGAAAGCATTTTCGGGTAAATAGTAAGAAAATTATGATTGATGTAAACTGAGTTGGATCATAAAATCTTAAAGATAAGTTCAACTATAGTCAGGTATTCCAGCGTTAAATTAGATCAGATTGTTTAAAGGTTAGATTGAACATAAACTTCGTGAGCATAATAAATTCACGCACAATTCAGATAAAACCTGTCATCTTATAAATTCAAGAATTAACCTATTTTAATTACCTTTCCCTATATGTCAAAGATTTAAAGCTAAGACTGAATTCAGTTTTAAACCTCCAGAAAGTCTCTCGACTAATTCTCGAGAATTAATTGCTATTTGAAAGTTATTACAAATTTCACGTAGTACTTATACCTAAATGTTGATTAAAGTTTTTGAACCTGTTTTCAACCACTCTGACAACATGTGGTGGCAGTACACAGCCAGAAACGCGCAAGTTGCAGCAGGCCTGCTGCAGACTTGATGCAAGTTGCGATCATCAAGCCGATATCAGGATGCGTTCGCATCGCTTGCTCCGGCTTGATAATATCAAGTCTTTTGCAAGTTGTTAACAGACTTGATGCAAGTTGTGAACTGCAGACTTGATGCAAGTTGTGAACTGCAGACTTGATGCAAGTTGTGAACTGCAGACTTGATGCAAGTTGTGAACTGCAGACTTGATGCAAGTTGTGAACTGCAGACTTGATGCAAGTTGTGAACTGCAGACTTGATGCGAGTTGTGAACTGCAGGCTTGATGCAATTTGTGAACTGCAGACTTGATGCAATTTGTGAACTGCAGGCTTGATGCAATTTGTGAACTGCAGGCTTGATGCAATTTGTGAACTGCAGGCTTGATGCAATTTGTCAAAAAGCGAAGTGAGGAAAGCGCCTTATGAAGCTTCGTATATCCACCATTTTAAACAAAAAACAGCCAAACGGTAGCCATCGAGGTTGCCATACTTCGGTAGAGACTTCGGTTTTTAATGTTTCGTAAAATAACAAGCATTTTAACACTTGTGAGATAAGTTTTGACTGAGCAAAACAAACAAACAAAATATTTTTCTTTAAAATAGTACATACACAAAGCTTCAATCAGGCGTCTTCCTCGTTACAGATTTCTCTTAAAATTGGAAAGAAATTCAGTAACGAATTTCATATTCATATCAACGATGTCGATGAACTTTACTCAGTCGTTCATGTATTTTGTTAAGCTTTAAATCATGTATTTTCGTGGCCACTTTTTCAAAAATCAAACCAACTTTGAGCTTCTTCTTTGAGATTTCTTTCTTCTTCGCTTTATTTGACTTTAGCGGGGATTTTAGTTCGCACTTCGCACTTGTTAAAAACTTGAAATTTTGTTGACTCAAAATGAGACAAAAACAACCGAACTTGATTACGTATTAATATCTTTGTAATATTTCGTCCAATTGCAACGAGGATTGATGGCGAGTGCATACGCGCTTATCCAGTCAGATTAAAGAAACGTAACGATAGTATACGTCAGCAGTTGTTCCTAAATTTCAATTTTAATAAAATTTATAATTATTTGCGACTTGCGAGAATTTTTCTACAGCTGTCCATTTCAACTCATCTAATTTTATCGATTAGAAATAGCTGTATGGCTAAATAAAGCAAAATAATCTTTTTGATTTAAAATACAAAAATCTCCATTGACAATATTCATGTGTAGAGCAATAAAATAATCGAGGAAACTGCTTTTCACGGCCGAAGCGACTGAAGTATAGCGAACAATAAACAAACCTGTTATAAACTGTGAACCTCGTTGTGAACAAAACAAATAAACTTGTTATCAAGTTGCTATAGCAAACGGCAAATATCAAGTTGCACCAAGCCTGATTTTAACGACTTGCTTATCAAACTTGTCAGGACTTGTTAGCCACAACCATGCTGCAAATTGTTTGAACAACTTGCAGCAAGCCTGTAGATAACAACTTGCCGCGAGTCTGATTTTCTCAACTTGCATCAACATTGATGTGCTCACAGACTTGCTGCAAGTTGTTCCATCAGACTTGTTAAAACTTGATATCGACAGACTTGATTCAAGTTGATAAAACAAGTTGGATCAAGTCTGCAAGTGACAGCTTGCAGCAGGCCTGGTTTTCTCAACTTGCATCAGCATTGATGCGTTTATCAGACTTGATGCAAGTTGTTCCATCAGGCTTGCTGCAAGTTGACATTTGCAGACTTGATGCAACTTGTTTCATAAACCTGCATCAAGTCTGCAAATGTCAACTTGCAGCAAGCCTGATTTTACTGGCTTGCTGCAAGTTGATGACGTCAACAAGCTTGCTGCAACTTGTTGACAACTTGCAGCAGGCCGGTAAAACCCGCAACTTGCAGCAAGTCTGTGGCGTTTCTGGCTGTGTAATGTTTGTGTCTGCGAACATATATTTCTCCACCTTTTGATAAACCGGTGAAGTGTTTTTTCGAGTAATTTTAAATCGAGTACTGTTATGTTAAATAAAGTTTTCCACTTCTATGTCGAAACCACGTCTCAACCTGCAGTAATAGATATGAATCATGTAAAACACCGAATACATACACCTAAACATTTAAAAATGCGAAGAAAATGGAAGCATTTTGAGTATAACATGTCTATATACATTGTTTATTAAAAACATTTTTAAACGTTATTCTATTGTCAGAACGTCGTCATGAGATGTTTCGATCATCTCTTGATCACGTGCTCACTGAACAACTCGATGACATCCGAGAGTCTGAGGAAGACGACCTGGGAACGAGTTACCTCTCCGAGGACGAGCTGGGAAACCGGAAAAACCAGAAAAACAAGAGCAATAAACCGGAAGCGGATCAGGTTTCTAGCGATGGATTGGATTCGATGGATTCTGATGTCCCAGAGCCACGTGAGTTATCAGGATTTCATGATCTTATTATATATTGCTAGGGTAATATTTCAATTTTTTGAAGATGTCATCAGAAATCATAAGATCATGAATGACGCATCTCTTTTCCTATAAAGGAATGAAACATGTCTAAATCTGGTTATCGAATTAACATCTGATCATAATCACCCAGTGTAACATACCTTTCAAAATAATCATGCACATAGCAACTTCTCTACACAACTTATTGTCATCGTCCAGTTTGCTTCAACAATTGCCTAAAATATATAGAGCCTGCTTTACACTTTCTAAGAATCTGGGATTCTCTTTGTGTGAAGTTACTAGTGCGCAAAATGCTTTGCCTATTGGAAAATAAGCTAGCTGAACCAGGCCTAAACTTCCCTACGTTTCGACCTAATCATCTTCACCAGAATTAGTAGGACTGTACTTTTGACGAAGACTATTAAAACCTCGCTCGATCCTCTGTAATCCTTATTTTACCCCATTTAGGCGTTCCATCACCGACTAAACTCTCTCTGGATCGTCAGTTTACGAACAGTGCATTAATAAGCTGGCGAGGAGCGCAACTGCCCAATGATGAAATCCAGGGATACAATGTGTATGTCGACGGGAAATTCAAGACCCAGATCAAAGGAAGCAAAAAGACGAACGTCGTTGTGGAAGATATCAAACCCACCGAGGTATGGCACTGATCTTATATATACACTGGATATAACATCCATACTATGGCTTTGTTTTTTATCGATAAAGTTAATTTGCGTTCAACTGTGCTACTATGCGCTTACCGGCTTACGAGAAACATCTTTACATTTCCAGACATATCGGGTATCGGTGCGAACGAATTCGGTCAGCGGTGTTGAGTCACCTGATACCGACGCTACAATGGTTTTCGGTCCAGGTAAGTTTCTCTACGAGTACGACAACAAGATTCGTGATTCTCGCGTGTTGTTTGCTTACGCCATCAGCCAAAACTCGTAATCGCCGAGCTTTTGAGTACGGGTTTGTTTATTATTTCTTGCTCAAAAGGCCAACGACTACGAGTAAGAGTTTTAAAGACTCTCCTAGGGGACAGGCACTTTTGTGACATCGATGATAACAATTTTCCCTGTTTCTGATTCTGATTGGCAAGGCACATAAAGATATTTTCTTAAATTTTTTTTTACTGAGTATTTGTAGATTTCATATACTTCTTACGTCATTGCATACAGATGCCACGTTGTCGCCTAGCAACCTCGATGTAACCAAGATCACAGCCACGTCAGGAGAGCTTCAATGGTTACCATCTCACAGTTGCTACCAACACGAGATTTTCTTGAATGAAACATTACTGGAAAATGTCAAAGCTGGTTGTTCATCTTTTGCGATGAACGATCTTTCTCCTTCGACACAATATCACATACGAGTGCGGACAGTAATCCCTGACCATCTTGAAATGTCTGGGGGTAAACTCACAGAGAAAGATTTAAGTGCTGAAGTGGAGTTCACAACGGCTGATGGAGGTAAGACTATAGTTATATATAGCTTATACAGTTAAATAATTGAATGGATCTAAACGTGATGGGCCTCTCTGAGTTACCAATCGGAAAAGCTGAACAATTAGCTTGATCACAGTGGAAATCGAATCAGCGACCTTTGGTTTGCTAGCACAATGCTAGTTTTTCAGCCTGTCCTGTTGGTAACTCGAGAGGTAGAAAATTATCCTTTTGAACATCGCAAATTCAGCATGACATTTTAAAAGGCGGTTAATATTACCACGTATATTTGAGGGGAAAATGGTTGTTATATTCTCGACGTTATGATTTTCAATGCCACTCATTGTGTAGAAGTTTTATAAAGTTCTTTGCAGGGCTACACTTTGCCGCTGAGATGGGACGGCAGCTTGTAATGCAGACTGTCAAATGTTTGGCCTTGACGTCTGTTGTAGGTTACAGTGAGAACTCATTCGTTTAAAATGTTGTGATAATACTTTTTCTCTGATAGGATTACCAGAGCCTCCTGTTGATCTTCGACTTTCCCAGCGGACGTCAGAGAACGTGGTTCTAACTTGGTTACCAGTCACTCTTTCTCTCGATGGCTACTCTAATGGTTATAAAGTGAGCGGTTATAAGATTTACGTAAATGATATTTATTGCACGGAGATTGTTTCTGCCTGTGTGGACAGCATAGCAATACCAGTGGAAAAACTGAGAAATCTCGGAAAACGACACGACTTTTCGCGCATGCGCTTTGTTGTTAGAACGCTGTCCGTACTAGGCGAGTCTCTCGACTCGAATGCTGTGGAAATTTGGTCCGAAGATCATGAAATAGAAGATAGGACTTGTGGGAAGGTGGAAGGAGCTGTTTTAAGTAATTCAGATTTTCCTAAAAATATTGATGAAGGCAATTTATTGAGTGATGGCAATGCTATAGTCTCAAGTGATTTGGCCAATTCTTTGGAAGCGAACTCTACAGCATTAAAAAGTAAAAACAATTCTGAATTGCCGAAAAACAGCGTTGGAGAAAGCTGGTCTGATAAAGAAGGTACAAGGAACCAAGGCGCCTTTTCAAGTAATGAAAGCGATCAGGAAGACAGCGGCGACGGTCTTCACCAGGCCACGTCGAGTAAGGATTCGACTTCGGAAAGTAGGACCAGTAGGAAATCGAATGTTTCCGAGGTTACCGAGTTGAATTCAGGAAGTAAGGATGACAACGAGAACGTGAAAGATGGCGGACTGGGAAAAGATACGACGAATGCCGCCGATGTTCCTCCGACGCTTGTCCGAAGACCACCAATCGTCAACCGGTATGACGTTGAAACGGAAAGTGAAAGTTATAGCACGGAGTCTAAGACCATGGACACGGAAGATGAATTGATTGAAAGATTTGAGCATTTTGAGGTATGTTATCTAATTTGAGATCCGTTGACACAATTTGCTGCGAATTCGATTTAATTTTCCAGTTTTTCCCGGGTTTTATAGTGCAACGCCACGTACCTTAATTCTGTCTAGCGTTTCAAATTTCATAACTTTATTCATGTAGATTTCGGGTAAAAACGAAGTCGACGTCGCTTATAAAAACGACGAAGACTATAAAAACATGAACGAATTACCCGAGTGTGATACTCTCAGCGGTAACCATCCAGAGACTAAAGAAAACACTTCGAATACTGAACCATGCGAAGGAGAAGATATCAGAAGAAGCGATGGCATTAATACAGATTCTTCACCACAGAGCAATGGAATTTCACAGAACAATTTAGGTACAGATCATCGCTCCTCAGGGAGCGAGGCTGATAGCGAAAAAAAGGAGGACAAGAATCGCTCGAAAGATTTTCAAGCATTCATTCAGAATGCGGTGTCGGATGATATGGGCAGTGGGGCAAAGGGGAGTGGTCCCACTCTGACTATCGGACCACCGCATTCTGAAAGCGAAACGGATACAGAATACGGGCCACCGTTATCTGTCATACACGAAGTTGATGAAGATAATCTCACCGAAACAAACAGTCCCACCTCACAAGATAAAACCAGTGATGATGAAGCCACTCTTTGTAATAAACAACTAACCTCTCTCCCGGATGACCATTCTAGGAACTCGGATATTACTGGGAGTCGGAGCCGAACCCTTACGTCCGATGACGAGGGTTTCCGAACTGAAGACGATGTTTTGGATCTCCTTGATGGCGAGGATGATGCTATGATTGATGAGCCTAAGGGTGACAATACAACATCTACGACAAAGAAAGGACAAAGTGCGAGTACATCTAGGGTTGATAAGGGTAATTTTAGAACTACGAGTGATAATCGAAATGACATCGATAATAGGACAATTGGTAGTAATGATAAACAAACCATGGATAATGCTGGGATTTTGAGGGATAGAAGTGTTCAGGAAGATAAAATTGATGGGGTTACCCAGGAAAATGAGACAGACTTAGATTCCGTAAATCTCACGGAAAAGGCAAGCGGCAATACACAGGTGAGATCTGATGATAATAGTTCTAAGGGTGAGGAAGTTACTGTCAACTGTCACAATCAAGACAACACAGAACCTAATTCCGATGGAAATAAGACAGAAGACGAAGAGTCGACTGAAAATATTAGCGAGTCAAGTTGTCCCACAAGAGCGTCTTTAAGATCAGATAGTTCTCTTTCTGAAGAACCTCCTGCAGCTGAAAACGCTTTAGAGGCCATCATAGCTACGCTATCCTTTCCCGACAACTGCCGGGGCACGGTGCAGACTGGAAGCGATGGTAACGAAAACATTCCGAGTGGTTCCGAACGAACGTCCGAAGTCGTTTCCGCCGAGAACAGATCCGACTCGGAAGGAAGCGAGGTTGCTTCGGAACAAGTTCGTTACTACATCGCGTTGTATAGATATGACCCGATGACTATGTCGCCGAATGTGGACGGAGCTGACGAAGAATTGCCATTCAATGAAGGAGACATTATCAGGGTGAGTCAGCTTCAGAATCATTGTGGGAAAGGGATTGAATATACAAGTATTATTTAGCAGGATTCCCGGTTGAGCACGACAAAGGTAATAATTCATGTTCAAATCCTAAGTACTCGAACTTAATCCCTGAGATTAAGGTTAGATTTGGAATTAACTCCAATCAAAGATAATCTAAGACGTAATCTCGAGGATTAAATCCGTGTATTTAGGATATTCTGATAAACATTGAACATACTCATGAACTAGACACTCAAAAATGAAACAAAAACAAATTATTGAAGGACAGAAAAACGTTAAAATATAAACTTTGGGATGTAATATAAATTATAGTATATAGTATATATGTATATATAGTATATAGTATATATATAGCATATATGTATATATAGTCGCTAAATAGTATATAATATGTATATTATGTAATATATAGTATATGTGCTATTAGTATATATGCAGCCTCTTTCAAAGAAGTTGGCTCTGAATGTCATCTGAGAACAATCTTTGTAATGTTTTTCTTTGTCTCAGGTGATTGGCGATGTGGACGATGATGGTTTTCTCTGGGGTGAATGTAAACTCAAGCAAGGATTGGTTCCATCAAATATGGTCTCCGAAGTCGATATCAACGAAGCAGAAGACTTGTTTAACGAAGATACCAATGACGTCAGATTGCAAAATGAGCTGAATTCACATGACCAAGTCAATGGGGAACTGGACGTCGATATTATTTCGCAGAATCTTGGAGAGACTGGAACTAGTGGTGACAGGTTGTCGTTTTGGGAGAATTTGGAAAGTGATGATTTGGGACCAAGAAAGATGAAAGCTCTGTATGATTATGATCCATTGAGCGATTCTCCTAACGTCGACAGTGAGGTATGAAGTTTAAATTGTACCAGTTTGAATTTATACACCCAAAAGAAAAGAGATGTGATGCATTTTTAAAATAATAATTTAGCTGTTTTATTACGCCAAATTCTTGGTATTTAACAAAGAAAATAATTAGCTCTATACATTTTGCGAGAAAAAAATTATCTTGCTGCAATTTGTCTGTAATCTCGAATGCAAAGAAATCTTGTTTTTTTTTATAATTGAATTGTCATGGAATATTATAGGTTGAATTGAAGTTCAAGTCCGGGGAAATTATTTTCGTTTTTGGTGAGATCCACGACGACGGTTTCTTCGATGTAAGTTGGGCCTTTCCTGTTTGAGTCTTTGGAGATGTCCTTTTGATTGGCATTTGTAATTTTCAAGTAGAAACATTTTTCACATTTGTGCGCAGGAATTGTCTCTAGTCACCTTTCTTAGTTCTTTTCTTTTGACGATAAGCGAACGAATGGAATGATTCAATTCTTCCTGAGCACGTGCATGTTTACATTCCTTCAAAATTTAACCAGAAATATGCTAATCTATTTTAATCGCTGGAAGTTGTCTTGAATCATGTACTTTCTGCATCAATCTACATAGCTCATGGGCTTGATGAATCTTTTAACACAGTGATGCGTGCATGTTTTCTGTAAAATGCCCAAAATTCCGAGTATTTCGGCTTGACTATTCGAGGGAAAGATCCCTTATAGTAGCAATGTAAAAAGTGAAGTTGCGGATATTTATCTGTAAAAACTCTTTTTTTGGGTGCATTATTCTCACAATTTAAAGCCAAAATACTGGGGATTTTGCCGACCATTGTCTCCACAGAACACAAAATCCATCTGCACGCGGTAATATTTGTTTGTAAAGACACAATTCTGGTTTCTAATTTAGGGCGAATTAAATGGTATTCGAGGTCTTGTTCCCTCAAATTTCTTGAAGCCCGTTGAAGAGATAAACCATGTTGAATTGCTTGCAAATGAAAAAACCTCAGATTCGAAGACAAAATCACCCTCAAATGCACAGGTTTGAGATTGTCATTTGTCAATCATTTACAAGACGCCAGTTCAAAATTATCTTTGTATTATACTGATATGTTGAATTCTGCTTTTTTTAATTTCCTGCTCTTAACAAATTCTGACATCAAAACTCTAACACAGAGTTTGATCAACGCTTGCTCCATCGATTTCCGCTTTTCTGGTCAGTGGAGATTACTCGTCTACTTCATTTTAGGAACAGTCACTGAACAACCTCAACCATAGTCCCACTGAAGATGGCGGAATTCCTCACAAGAAAAGGAAGAATATTTTCTCCAAGGGAAAGAAAATGTTTAAGAAAGCTTTCAAGTAGAAAAAGTCACAGGATACACTTCCGTTGGTAAAGTGTGCGCGTATAAATGATGTAGTCAATTGAAAGACACCAAATTGCTGTTAGAGAAGGTTTAAAACGTATATTTTAATCAAAGTATAACCGGTGAGCGAAGTAACCTCGATACTTTTTAATGTGTTTTTTAACTAGTTGTTATATACTGCTTCTTACGTTCCCTGCAAAAATCTATAGCAATTATACTTAGAAAACATATAAAAACGTTCTGGAAACTGGATTCATCGCTAAGTATAGCTAATATTTATGGCAAAAATACAAGTTGGTGGCATATAACAATATGGCAACTAATATTGAATGTATTCTTTAAATTATCAGAATTTTACCCGTAGTATAGACCTGTTTAAACCCAGCACGCCTTATTCAAACCTCCGAGCCCTCGTTAAACTACAAATCACTTTTAGCTTTCGTATATATATTTAATGCCAGGTTTAAGTTATGTAAATAACAACTGTACAGATAGTGTATAAAGAAATGCTAATCTGACAACTTCGCCATGTAAATTACTTCATAAACTGGCGTACTTCCAAAATATATCAGCAAATCGTTTAGCCAACGCCACTACGGTTAAAAATATGCGATGTTCACCACGATTTTTCATCGAACTCAGTATTTTCTTGTTTTTTTTAAATTGTTCAAAAAAGATTTGATTTAAACAGTTATAGGAGCCTGAACAATTTTATTTCAAGTAATTCACGATAATGTGGTAAAGGTGGATTACTTTTCTTCGATACAAAACTGCACATTATTTATCCTAAAATATTCTATGTAATATATTTATATTGCTGTAAAATGTTCTTGTATTAATTACTGTAGAGCTTATCGTTATATATATACATTCACAGATTTTAACTTATTTTCTAGATACTGTATGATAATATTATTATAACAGAGATTTTAATTGCAAATAATTTATCTAAGTACTAATTGAAATAATTACTTTATTGTTTTATAGTGAAAATAAAATTAAATCGATATTTAGCCTAAAGTTCTTATCAGCTAGGATAAATATTTTGCGTGGAAGAATTGAGTCAAAATCTCAAAATCTACGAAATTTTATGCTTTCTTTCAAAATATTTAATCTAACGTGTTTTTGCAACGTGTTAAAAAAATGCCGGATTTCAATTTTACCCTTTTTGTATTCTTGAATTGAAATTCCTTCTACTTCACCGTTTTTGCACCTCAAAATTCGTGTTTATTTTTTATGTAAATGTTCGTTCATATGGAAACCAAATGCTTATATACAGGAATATAATAATTTATCCTACTCGTTAATGCATATTTTACGGAATATTTTTGGCGTAAAAACCTCGAGTCTTCTTCATAAATAGAAGGGCTATACTTATGTATGATCAATTTCGTATATTTTGTCGCCATTTGCGTTTATAAAATATAATTAACTTTGTCCCACATTAATTGTAGCTTGTCAGCAATAAGCAGCTGAATAAACAGAGCTTTGATAGCACTCCACACATGAAATTCTTCTGGCAAGAGCAAATAAAGCTGCTACAATCATCTAGTTGTGGACGAAGATATCACCCACAAATTATTCGGTTTGCTCTATCTGTTCACAGCAAATCACCTGCTGCCTATAGGGAGCTTAGGGAAAGTGGTTCCTTGGTATCACCAAGTGAAAGAGTTTTGAGAGATTACAAAAATTTTTTCTCTCCAAAAGCTGGGGTGAATGCAGACAACCTGGAATCTTTGCAAAACAAGGTGAAATCGTTTAGCGGAATTTAACACTATTTCGTACTGGTCATGGACGAGATGAAGATACAGTCAAATCTTGTATATGACAAGCATTCTGGCAATCTGATTGGGTTTATTGATCTTGGTGATCCTGTGACCAATTATGCCTGCCTGGAGAAGGAGGATAGCGTTGCCACCCATGAATTGGCATTTCTTGTAAGAGGTTTGGCCACTGATATGAAGCATATCATTGCCTATTATTTTACAGGAAATGTCACTTCATACGAGCCAATGCCCATTTTCTGGAAAGTTGTGTCAACACTGGAGCTCTCACTGGATCTTTGGGTGATTGGTCTTGTCAATGACGGTGCTTCACCAAATCGGAAATTATTTAATCTCCATAGCAACTTTTTACATGAGTATAAATCCAACGTCACACACAAATGGTAAATGCTAACAGATATTAATTTCAGTTCATACATGATTGTAATATTCATGAAGGACATGCAAATCAATTTCCAATCTAATCTAAAATTAATTATGCAATTCTGTGTGGCTTCTATGAGAAGATTGAAAGCTATTTTCCAATTTTTGGATGTGAATATAATGAAAAATATAAATATTTTTTGCTCTGAAACTATAATATGGTGATGAACTCAATGTGTCCTAACCTTCCCTTTTACATGGAGTTTTAATGTTGTAGAATGTGCATTGCATGGATAGATTCAAGAACAAGGCTTTTCACTCCGGCGCCAGTGACGGAGTTGAAAATTCGCCCCGGTTTTTTGGTTTTTTTTTATTATTTTTCGTCTGTAACGGCCAGCCTCGTACCCAGACGCTTTAATAGTAAAAATAATGTTGCATTCAGTTATAGTATAGAGGTCAGCTAAAAAAACACGAGCGCGCGGGGGTACTTGCGGTGGCTTCCTCGCCAAAAAAAACCACCCCAAGCACCCTGCGCGCTTGCTTTTTTCAGCTGACCTCTATATAAGACCTGAATGCAAGGTTATATATTTTACTATTAAAGCGTCTGGGTACGAGGCTGTGATTTTTTTGTCCTTTGATGCGCAACATATCCACCGCCTCCCTTTGAAGTTTGCCGGCTATCCAAACCATGTGGTCATGTAAAGTATGCATGTCATAAAGTATGGGCAAACTTTGTCTCAGGTTAGTCTCAGGTCATGTATAAAGACTTTAAAGTTTAAATATTTCGAACTGCGCTGGTATTCTTAAAAGTAATTTGCAACATTTTTATGCATGTTCCATTGGTTTTCTATGTAACAATTTGGAACATATAATAATCTAATATCATGTATTTCTGACAGCATAAGGTTGAAATAGCTATGAAATTATCGAAGTGATTCTTTTTGTACAAGCCAAATGAAATGAATGGCATATAGAATGAAACTCTAGCAAATCCACCTTATGGATATATCAATTTTATGACACAAATTTTGGGAATCTTATTCAGTTAAAGGCAATTAAGTTTTCATATGTATGTATAATTGCCAATCTAGGTCATTACTGAGTGATACATACTAACACAATAACAGGGAAATTGGGTGTTCCTTTATGTAAGATACTCCAATATTATCTTGCAATATTGCAATTTTTGCAATGTTGCAATTTTTATCTGTACATATGTGTATAATTGCTCTGACAGTTTTGCAACCCTTTTTCCATGCACTGATTAGTTACTTGAAGATAAATAAGCTCCAATTTGAGCTTCAGGATATTTGATGAGCTACTTTTTTGCTGGCCAGTAAAACTTTTTTTAAATCTCACTTAAAGTGCAATTTTTGAATTGCATCTGTTGCAACTTTGGAGCAACTAACAAGTCTTAATTGTGATGCATGACACAAGAGGATGAAAACACGACCTTTGTTCACCTGCTAACTAACAGTAGATTAAGTATGTACTCCTCCATTGTTGGGAAAACTATTCTGCTTTTAGATAGATGAACATATTAAAAGCAGGATTCATCTCAGCAAGACTGCTTTTAAGAACTGAAGTACGTTCGGGTATTTTGGTGCATCCTTTTCTGTGTGACATTGGCATTGGATGCTTAATAGAGGGGCACACTTGATGTACCACTATGATGGGAAGTTTTTGAACACAAGCCAGCCCAGAAAGCATGCCTCTGATCTGTAGGCTGGGGTACAAATAATCACCCACTCACCTATCCCTTACTGCTACTGCATCTTGATATATTCATAGCAGCTGGCAAATTTTGTTGTTTTCTGGCTACAGAATAGTGTTATAAGCAGATACGAATTGTCAATGATTTGTTTTCACATACGTGTTTGGCTTTATTCAGTTGGTTAACCACATCATGCCCAAAGATTTCTATAAATATATTTTTTTCATTCACCCTTCCCTTGTGTTCAGTTGTACCCAACACAAGACATGATTGGGCAATGAAGGATTCATGGACACTAGTAGCAAGAGCATAGTAAAATGAGTGAACCTGTGATTAAAGTTTTGCTCATATATATCATGCTCAGCCTTGTCCAATAATTGTTTAAAAGTCGAAATACCAATGATTTTGTTTGTAATGTTTTTTAGAAAGTGAAAGGATTGTCAGCATCCCAAAATTCCGAGTCAGATATTGACAATGTCGCCGAGGAAAGGATAAAGAAACTAAAAATGAGGAATTCTGAGCTCGTTGCCATTGCGAGAAAGTTGGAAGAGAAAGCTAAACACCTGCAAGAAGAAAAGGATCCCCCTGGATTTGTTGGAGGTAATTATGATGTCACAGCAACGCCAGATGATTTATTTGAATTTGTTCCGAGAGCCAGAGGTGCACCGACGTTTTGTTGATCTCAATCACGATCTAATTTTATCGGATCCAATTCACTCGTAGCCGTCGTAGCTAGGCTTACCACTTTGGTTTTTCGTAAAGATAGGACCACTTTAGGTCTTTTTCTTTACGAAAATCCAAAGTGGTAAAGCCTATATTAAGAAAACCCGAGGGCTTTTTTAAGTTCATTTTTCAGAAACTTCTGATGATTGATACATTTTAAACTCTCAGCTAGACAACTAATATCGATCCACTCCCGAAAAATTGGGATCGATCGAGTCTTTCCCATCTGATTCATATGAAAGCCGCAATCATATTACGAAACAATCAGCTTTTAAAAATTCCTTATAAATTATCAGTTTTATCTATAAATTAATTCGCGTTCCAGTTTTCTGACTTATTTCTGTATCTCCCTTGTTCTCAAAATCCAGCAAAACCGAAAATTTCCGACCATTTGCTGAATTTATGAATGAGTGACATCTCAATGGTGACACTCCTCACCCCGAGACATGCATTGCTGTCAAGAGAACGCAACTCAGTATAGGATTCGCCCATTTACTGAATTGGACCGCGTTTTCGTCGTAAAAGGGAGTTTAAAATGCTATATGATGTTATCTACGACGAGGACGTGCAACGTGAAAACAGTCGCTAGTGTTTTAGGCTATGTGCACACGAGCGTCGTTTTCGAGCGTTTTCAAAATCGTTTTTATCTAGTTTATCGCTGTGTTAAAACAACCCCTTTTTTGTATGATTCTATCCGCGGGATCGTCGGGGCCGTATGAGGGACAGCTCTGATAATATTAATACAACTTCCTTCTCTTTTCTTATATATTTATTTTGTTGTCGTGCCCCAGACCAAGTCATCAACCTTCTCTCTTAACCTTCTCTTTTAACCAGTGCAACCCGTGATGTTTTATACTCTAAACTATAGTGCGTTATTGTGCATTGTTCATTGTTCATTGTGCATAGTGCAAAGTGCAAAGTGTTGTCATTTCCATGTGTCCATCACGTGCGAAACCCTTGGGTGCATATAACAACAATTTCCCTTATATTACATATAGTTGTATTAATATTATCAGAGCTGTCCCTCATAGTACGGCCCCGACGATCCCGCGGATAGAATCATACAAAAAAGGGGTTGTTTTAACATTGGTGAAGGATGCGGGCACCGCT